GGCTCCGCGGCAACGCCAACACGCTGCGGATGCGGGACTGCCGGGGCTGCACCGTGCTCTGCGGGCCCGTGTCCACCTCCGCGCTGGTGGATGGCTGCAGCGATTGTCTCCTGGTGCTGGCCTGCCAGCAGCTCCGCACCCATCGCACCCGCGATAGTCGGTTCTACGTGCAGGTGACCAGCCGGGCCGTAATCGAGGACTGCACTAAGGTCTCCTTCGCCCCCTACACTTGGAGCTACCCTGGCATCGAGAGAGATTTCGAGTCGTCTGGGCTGGACAGAAGCAGAAACAACTGGAACCTGGTGGATGACTTTGACTGGCTGGCGACTGGCAGGGCCTCCCCCAGCCTGATCCCCGAGCAGGAAAGAATCAGCTACTGGGACTGATTGCAGAGGCAGCTCGGTGCTGAGCGAGAAATCCTGGTGTAAACGCATCGATTCATAAACAGTGGGGCTTCATCGCCGATACGCCATTAAATGATTCCATTTGGTATTTCAATTGTGAATTATAATGTATGACTGGATTTTTTTAATTGAAGAATACCAGTCAAATATGGTTTACTATTCTTACACAGGTTGCTGCTATAATCTTTATGTATCACTGTGGAATTTGCCAACTACTGCAGTACCTCATTGCTGAGTTTTTCTAATTAAGGTGGGGCAAGGGGCACCAATACACAACAGCTAGCCTCTATTAGAACTGTTATGCTGCTTTCACTCACACAGGCAGAATCTGAATTAGCTGCAAGTAGTACGAGCTGTACTGGAATGGAAAGATCAGATACTAAATTTTTCATATTTTTGTGGTTCTCAAGTTGCAGATGACAGTACGCTAATCTTATGGGGAGTATGCGAGAGGACTTTTGTGAGGTATTGGGAAACAATGAAATCTGTAAGTTGTCTATATCTAGGCTTTTATTTCAAGTGAGATAAGTTTAAAGGGAAAAAAAGTCTCCTAATGAACATTTAATGCTCTCCTAATATTAATGATTGTTTGAAATTAACAAACCTATAGAGGCTGTATAAATACTAAACCTTCACAATCTGAAAATACTATGTGAAAGAATGCTCCTTCTGTAAACAGTTTTAACTTGAGATGAATAAAATGAGTGCTTTGAGTGTACTTTTGGGGGCATACAGTAAGTGCTGATTAACATTACAGAAGCTAAGTAAACTGCTCTACTGCAGTCCGAAACTTCAGGGGAGAGATGTTCAGGCATGTCCTACTAGTTGTTTCATCTGTCCACCAGACGCTAGGCTTTGTGGTGCTGTGATCTTAATGCAGTAGCAGGGTGCTGTAAATAAGTGCAATGTTCACAGAGGGAGTCAGTAAAATGGGAAGATGAGGTCCTATATTCCAGTTCCAAAATTGCATGTTATCTTCCATAAAGAGCACAGTAACTTAAGTCCCATGTCTTCACTCCTGCTAAATAAAAAAATAAAAGTAGCAACATTATGGAATACAGTGTTTTTACAGTGCCCTGTTAGTGGCGGTGAAGTGACCACTATCAATACATGAAGTATACACAGTAGTTTTAGGTTTCCAAAACCACTCCTTAACTTGTGATGTTTTACAATAAATCATTGTTTATCTTGCCTAAGAACAGCTTAGAGTTGTATTTTAAAACTGCAAAATATTTCTGCTGCCCTACCATCATATATGTGCCTCTAATAGAAAATTAATACTAGCCAAAGCATCAAAAACTGCATCATTGTTGTTAGAAGTACTTGAAACTCACCCGAGTACTTGACTGGTTTTGAGCAGAGAAACTTTTTATCTAAGTTGTTTTCAGCATATTTAATTTAAAACGGGAGGGGGGAAAAAAGGGAATTTTTGTATATTCTTCACAACTTTCAGTTTTGTTTACTTCTGTTAATGTATACTTTTTGACTGAATTGGATTTTGCATTTAAAATATATTTGTTTTGAATTGTTTCAGTTGTCCCTTTACTAATGATTCTTCTTTGGATTGACAGCATCTTAAAATGATTTAAAGAAAACACCCTTATTCTGGCTTTAACATACATAATTTTTAATACCTTGTTAAAGGGATGTGATCAGATGAGGCTCTCAAGTATCTTAATTTTAACAGATCCATCTTAGTAGAGAACCTGATTTTGTAGTTCATCTTTATTCCCCACATATGCCGGTAGTGACAAATCAGTCCCCTTAGCATCCCCTAGTCCTGGGATTGCAAACTGTTCAGCCTGTAAAAAACTACAGAAATGCCTTTGTTCTGCTAGCCAAAAGCTACAAACATTTAAATTTACTTACTATGTTGATGGACACTGGCAAATCTAGAAACAGAGGTACTACCGCGAGGCTTTAGTGGGTATCAGAGATGTGCGCTTCTCAACACCCTTCAAACTGGCATGGAAGTGCATCCCTGTGTTGGCTGTTGGTCCGTAGCATGCAGTATTGCCTGAATAAACAGAGCATGAGTCAAAACAAGGAAATTGGGACTTCAATTTCAGTCTGAAAATGCTTCATTGGTGATATTTTTCAGATGTCAGTTATTGACATCCCCGTTTCCAATCTGTTCCTCCCCCCCAGCCCCACCAATATTTAACTTTTATCCGATGAAAATTATTAGGTAATACTCTTCAGGACATTACTTTAGAGGAGACTGATAAAGGTGTTCCAGACAATTACTTTTCCTTAAAGATTTATCATTACCGTTGTAATACAAAATAGGTAACTGAATCTTAGTCTCAAGCATGATGAGACAAAAAAATTCAATTTGAGAACAAGTCTCTGAAAAAGTTTGATCAGGCAAATTTTTATATGTGATTTATAGTTCTAAGTATGTACCTGCATATATATATACACACACACGGTTGCACATGTTTCCATGCACCTTTTTTAAATGTAGAATCATACTAGGAGAAATTCAAAACTATTTTGGAACAAAAGTGTGTAATGTTAACAGTAATGTAGTATGTGAACACAAGTTACACACTAGAAAAGGTTTGCTAGCGTATTCACAGGCCTTATCAATATAGAAATTGCAACTTCTTCAGGTCTGGAAGGAAGAGAAACACCTAAGCATTTCTATCTAACTAGTTATTTTAACAACACTATTTGTAATATTTTTTTATTAAGCATACATGTGGAAAAGGAAGTCACAATTAGTATAAGCACTAGCAAGCTGTCATCTGTGTGTCCCAGAAGAAACGATTCCTCCTGACAGCACCAGTGCAGACAGCTCGTGTGTTACTCGCCTGTGCTATAACCCCCAGCATTCCGCAAGCCCTTGTAGGCAGGAAAAAAGTAGAATGCCATGTGAGTGAGGGAATATTAGCTGGTATCTCAATAGTACAGTTATTCATTTGAGAATCCGTTTTCCAGTCATATCTAGTGGAAAGTGATAACTCAGATGTATTGAGAATTATATACTCATTAAATGTTTACAGAAGTACTTAAAGCATGGTAAGATTAAGTATGTGTGTATATATATAAAACAAAATGTTTTACAGGATAGCTATATGTATAAAATCTGTATTTAAAATTTCTCAGCTGTTTCTTAAGCTAATTTCTTAGCGTTGCTTAGCATCTGTTTTCTTAGATGGAAAAAAATTCTTTTTGTGTTGACACATACTCAAACTAATGTTTTGGAAATAAGATGTTGGGGATACTTTGGCAGGTCTAGACTAGAGAGTTGTCTAGATTATTTCACTGGAACTACTTACAGAGTAAATACTAAACACGGAAAGACTACAAGTCTAGTCCACAGTATTTGTAACTTAATTGTATTTCTTTACCTTTTGCCTCAACTGACAAGGGATCAGAAAAATTACTTCCAGTCTGCAGGTAAGCCTTAAGCTGTTTGTTCAAGAGGTCAAAAGCATATTGTAAGTATGGAAGCGATGAAATAGGTTCACTGGGAGTGTCTGGTTTCAACAAGTGAGGAATTTTGTGCTATCTTGTCTCCAGATGACTTCATGATGGAGCATCTCATACATCACACTGAAGCAGACCTCCTTCAAAGAGAGTAAGGAGCGTGTCACGACATGCCCTGAGCTGCCAGCAGCAAGTGGCCGGGCCCCTGAATTCCCCTTCTGAAGCTCGCGACTGAGAAATACTCAGAGGGAAGGTTGGGCAGAGCTCGAGCAGCAGCTGGTTTGAGCAGATGTGCCAGGCTGTCTCCATGCTCCCGGGTCAAGGAGACTTGCGATGCCAGCCTGGCCAGAGCCGCTTTGTCTCTCTGCTAATCGCAGCTTGGAGAAAAGAGGGCGGCACATGCTTGGTTTCTTCCCTCGGAGCGACAAGCAATGCTGACATGAAGAAAATGCTCGGCAGCCGCTTCCAGGCCAGGAGCCAGGATTGCTTTGTGTCTAACCTGCTAGGAAGAGCTTGCAAAAATCCCCTTCCCCGGAGAGCCACGGGGGAAGAGGTGCTTTGTTCGGGAGGCTTTGTGCAAGCTGAGCGAGGTTTCGTGGCTGAGCGGGTAGCAGGTAACACCAGGCTCACAGTCATGCCACAGGGCGGGCAGCAGCAGTCAGAACTGCTGTGAAAACAAGCTGGTTTCAAAGCTACCTTGCCTAGTAGCAAGACGGGCGACTAAAAACATGATGCAAGGGAGAAAACTATTCAAAGGAGTCCATTGAGTGAGCGTGTTCAGGGACGGTAATTCCCCAACCAGTTAAGAGCACCACCAGCGCCGCTTTGCCTCCAGCTGCAGCAGCTTGTCGGTGTGACCTGCATGGTGGCTAGGTTCACGTAACCTGCATAACCCAAGACTGAAGTAAAGAGAGTCCCCCCAAGAACTCTAGCTCCGGTTTGCATCTCACTGCCACCAGAATAACCAAGGAATTTCTTTTAAAAACGCATACCCTAAAGAAATTAATCATGCTAAGCCTCAAGAAGGGGCTGAAAAACAAATGCCTGCCAGGGACACGATTGTGAAGAGATTAGGAGGGTAACAGAAACATCAGCACCATAAACTAGGTGCAAATTGGCCCTGCATAGAGGGCTAACTGGCAGAAATTTTATAAAAACAGTGCAGGGCATTTTCCACAGGGAGTCACCAGAGCAAAGTCTTGGTTTAAACATTTTTGAAAGACAGCCTAGTTGGACAGCCCTCCTCCAGCTTACCGAAATCTTCAAGGCCAAACATCCTTAGTTCACCACAGCACTGTTACTCAGCTCTTAAAGCTCATGTGTGTCTGCGAATGAAATGAAATAAAATAGTTCTATGCAAAAATACACAACAACGAACCCATAGAAGAAAATTATGACCATTCTTCAGCACCACACAGAGCTCTGAGTATTAGCATTTGTTTAAGCTGTGAGGTAGCAAGGACCAAAGCTTGCCTCCAGAGAAGCAGCTGAGAGCTTTGCTGCTGCTTCCAGTGAGGCCACCATCTCGCCCGGAGGTCCGTCCCAAG